ATACAGACAAAACAGTGTTAATTGGCTTGCATGGAAAACAGTGTAGCTGCAGCTGGAGGATGGATTGAGGTGGTGACAGTGGGCATATTCTGTGTTGCTTACAAAGGCTCTAACCCTGTCATTTCTCCATAACTTCACAGGTGGTTACCTGAAGAATGCAATAGTGCTACAGCAGACGTGGTGAAGCCAGTTAATTGCAAGCTCATTTTGGATAATACTATAAGACAGACATTTGAAATATATTCAGCTCTTTTTAAAGGCCTATGAATTCTTTTACTGTAAACTACAGAAACAAAGAAAGAGACGATCAGTGGCTTAAGAACTAAGCCCAATTCTTTTTGTTATTTTAGAAATACTTCCCTTTTAAAAAAACTCCACTTTGTGGAAGGTACACTGTGTGTACAGGAGATACAGAAGGTGATCACAGCAAAGAGGAGCACAAAACGTGGTCCCAGATGATCCCAGTTTCAGTACCTGTCATATGCTTATCTGTATCCTTGATTTAGTTTTCTTACCCAGTAAGTGGAAATTCAACCGCAGCACATAATTTTAAGAAAAATACTTCATACAGGTTATTCCTCAAGTATATTTTCAATACATGGCAGTAAATATGATTATGATGATAATTGTTACCTCCTGGTAAACACTTTAGTCCTCTGTTTTAAGGAACACAATCGATAGACTTTGTTGGAAAAGAGGGACTTGAAAGTTCAGGAACTTTTCTCACTATTTATTTTGCTGAAATTGTATTTTGAGGAAGAAATACTGTTAAGGAATTTCGTGGCCTCAGCTAGAATACTCTGGAGAGTGAAATGGAGTGCTAATCCAAAGGGACTAACTCCAGGGCATACACCTGGATTCTTCCAGGAAAATTGAGAGTTCTGTCACCCAAATGTGGAGCTATGCAAGAAGCTGAGTTCTTTAGCCTCCTTTCTGTTTCAAAGTCAAAAGTTCATCTGCAAAGAAAGGTGCAAATTTTCTCAAAACTCTTGTAACTAAAGAAGAATAGAAGATAATTACCTCTGCCCTTCTATCTAAAAATTCAGATTTTGGAAAATGAGCCATAAGGCTAGGGATGTAGTTCAGTTGTATAATCTGTGCATAGCATGTGCCAAAGTACCGAGTTTAGCACCTTTACCTTTAGCACCACAGACACACACACACAACAAAGCATTATCGCTACTTTTATATGTCCTTGTCAAAATATTGACTGGGCTCTCAGGATGCCTGGAGGTCACTCTGTGCAGTTGACTTTTATAGTCTGTGTCCCAGTTACATAACCTGCACAATCAGGGAGTTGCTTTTAGGTAGTTCTTAAGTCTGTAAGAGTCTGGAACTGTTTCATAGCTTCTGAGGGGTAGTGTTATTTAATGATTTCAATAATATTGTCTTTTATAAACAGAGTTCACAACTTTTTGAGAACAGAGTTTAATCGAGGTAACACCACTCCGGAAAGCACAAGGGAAGAATAAATAGTAATCTTATTTATTTTTCTTGGGAGTTTCTATATCCCTGACACAATTATTTAATCCCCACAGCAAACCTCTGTGGTAGGTATGATATTCATCTCTTAAGAATGGCCAGCTGAGTGAGACACTAAATAGTTAAAGCCCTTTAAACAGCTAAGCTGAATTGTGGCTAAATATGGAAAGTGTAACTTTGATAACTGTGTCCTTAACTGTGTCATTAAACAAAGCCAAGTATTCTTAAGAAAAGTCAAAGGCTTTTAAATTTCCACCACCGGATTATAGAAAAATAGAACTTATTTAGATCTTAGAAGGTGAAGGAGTCATTCCCATGGGCCACACCCTCTGAGTGCTATTTTGTGACCCAGGTTAATCAGAGCAAGCCTTTAATCAAGGAGAAGCCACCAGCAAGCCCTCTGCAAAATGTTCAGTTTCCATTTCTGGAAAGACTTGTAATATAAAGATTACTCAAATTACTCTCTGGAAACTGATATCAAAATCTCACCACTATGCACTGAACCATAATATGTGACCAGATTTTTTACTGGCATGACATTTTCTACAAAGCTTCCTAGCTATTATTTTACAACTCATTTAAGGACTCTGATAGTTACTTTGTCAAAGACCAAAAGATAGTTTCTAATCAACTCACACATTTAATTGTATAGAAAGAAACTCAAGCTATAGCATTTAAACTAACTCACATAATTTTTTTTTCTGGGAAATAACTAAGCAACATAAACTGATTTGAATTACATTGCAGCAAAAGATTTACATAAAGTCTAAAGAAGATATTACTAGGTGTCCAACTTGGATTCTTAGAGTCAATTTTATTAACAAGTGAAAAAAGTGTATTCATTAAACATCAGCCATTGAACTGAACTTTCATATGGCTTTAAATAGTAATTTGATTTGCTCCATTCATAGTGCTTTTTAAAGTTATTCATCTTTTATACAGATTTGTAGTTACCTTTTCATTTGTTCATTGATTCACTCATTATATTTAGCTAACCTTTTGGGGGCATTTACAGTCTTCTTTCCGTATTTCCCTTGATCTTTTTTTTTATTTTGTAGCATATATTCTCGTGAATGTTTTTGAATAAATTTGTGTTGTGTTATATTTGTGCATTTTGCCCTCCTTTGATCTCTATATTTGGGAACTCACTGTGAAATAAACAATGACTTACTGTTCCTTTAGAGTTTTTTAAGCTACCGACTTGGAAGTACTGTATCTACAGATGTTATTTTCATTAAGTATTATTATCATTTGAATATGGGTTAACCCTACCAAAACTCATGTTGAAAGTTGATTGACAGAGCAGAAGAATTAAGACATGGATCCCTTAAAAACTAATTAGGTCATAGGGACTCTACCTTCATGATGAGATTAAATAGTTCTTTTGGGGACACAGTAGCTCTGCGGAGAGCAGGTTGTTATGAAATGAGCCTAGCCTGCTCCCTTGTTCTTGCTCTCTTTCCCACAAACTTGTACTTCTGCATCCACATACTTCCCCTTTCTGTTTTCTACCATGCCATGACAAAGCACAAGACCCTCACCAAAAAGAAAATGGGACTGCCAGGCTCTTAGACTTCCTTTTCTTCAGAATTGAGAGACAAAATAAAATAAACCTCTTTCTTTTGTAAAGTATCTACCCTCGAATCTTTTTGTCATAGCAACAGAAAATGGGGTAAGACAAATACAGCAGCAGTTCATTGATTTCAAATTCATAGAATAAGAAACTTTATAGAAGTTTTATGAGAGTGGTATTTCTATAATAATTCATATCATAGATTCCATCAAACTTAATTGTATTGTCCCAGACTATCTTAAGTACCTATGATCTTACTCTCTAAACCTTAAGCAATGATAGAACAATAGAGATGAGACACCAAAAATAAGCCAATTAAATAAAATTTTTAAAAAATGCCAGCTTGATACACAGATAATTTTCTTATAGGTATGGTGTTTTTAAAATGCTACAATTAAAATTACAAAAGTGTTTCCATGGTAATTGAAGGATGAGGATACCAACAGGAAGTGCATGCCACACAGAGTGCTTACTATGAGTCATTACATAGGATTGTGCTGAGTCACCATTATACCTCCAAAGACATTTGCCCTTAGATATTTGTGAAGATCCTGTTTCTCAAGTGTTCTGTGAAGGGGAGCCACTGCTCTTTTCCTAAACTCAAAGATTTCTTAGATTTAAATAGGTTCTACCCAAGTTTTTAACTTCTGAGTTCATCAGTTGTGAATCAGACATTTTCTTAGGTACTGGAAGTAAAGTAATAAGGCCAAAAGTTCCCCATCTTTATGTAGGCTAAGGGAAAGAGGAAGAATGAAACAAGAAACAGATGAAGAAGTAAGACACAGTAAGATGATGACAAATGCTATAAGCAGCAAAAAGGATGATGTGATAAAAGTTGGAGAGTAAGAAATAGGAGGCCACACTCTGAAGAACCATTAGAGTGGAGCTCAGTCAAGACAATGCTTTGACAAAGATTATGTGGTGTGGGGATCAGAATCTCCAAAACCTCTAGTATTTCCTGCATGCCACGGCCACCCTAGAGGCAGAAAATTCAGCATTACACAAGAATATCCATAGTCTTTGTCCTGCTGAGGTTTACTCTCTATAAGAACTTAAGTTTCTGTCTCTGAGGAACTCCAAAATGGTTGAAAAAACAAGCATATAGGCAAGTAATTATAACATAGCCAAGTTCTCTGTGTAGGTAGCACCATCAGCAGAAAGAACAGAAAGATTCTGTATCCCTGGGGAGAATTATAGGAAGCTTCCTCCAGGAATTTGCCTAGAAGCTCCCAGGAAATCACTAGGCAAGCTAAATCCCTATCATGAATTTTCCAATTTCTTATCTTAGGTTGTTTGTTTACTTTGTAATTTTTTCCCAGTGGGCTACAGAAACCAAGATAGAAAAAATGGAGAATATACCTTGGATTAGGTAAAGAAAACATTCACATAATTTAAAATGCCATAGTTAGTATCTATGTAATCAAACTGTACTTCTAAGCTGAACTTAATAAATTCTGACATCATGTCTAGGGCTCTTGTAAAATGATATAGTTATTTAGTCCAAGATCCAAAATCTTTTTTCCCTAAAACATTAATTTGTACCTGTGTTTAGTTTTGTTTTCTTTTTTCCTCTTCTGAATATGAAAAAAAAATTCCCACAGTTTTTGGAAGCTATTTTATAATCTATTTCCAATTACATACCAAGAACGATACTTCCTTTTCTAAGTGTTTCTGCCTAGTTTTCCTGATAAACCTACATGAATCAGTGGTTTTTGTTTCTTGGAGACTGCTGTCATCTTGATTTGTATGTGCTGGGTCCTGGCATGTGGTGCCTGAACTACTGCCCATTTCTTTCACCTTAATTGCAGTCACCTCTTGGAAACAAATGAGCTTTCCTAAACCCTGTAATTAGAATATAAATGTGATCATCAAATAGCCTTTAATTAGAATATAAATAACCTCTAATAGCTCATGCTTATGAGAATATTAGTGGATTATGAATCACTAAGAAAAAGCATGGAGGTAGCTCCTTCTCTCCCCTTTCACTTCCCCTCCAACCTGGCAGTTCCATTCAGTGTTTTCCCTGGAAACATACCACCCTTCTTAACTGAGCAAGAGAGAATGAGAGTCGCAATCATTTAGCAATGCACTTGGCAGATGGCTCTGTTGTTTAAGCAATATAAATCTCATTTTGTCCCTGACTTGTGAGTCTCTTCAGACAGAAAATCCTGCAGGTTTATGAATAGCCGTGCTCAGAACAATGATTGGAGAAAGTCTCTTAAGGCACAGGGATGAAGGTAATTCATCAGGGTCTATAGCTTAGACAGATCTCCATCCCAGATTAAGAAGGTAAGAGTGGGAAACAAATCCCCTTTTTTCTCCCTTTTTGTTTATTGAGTGCTTACTCTTTCCCTGGAAAGATTCTGGACACTTGTTTTCTCTCATTGAATTTTCAGAAAAAACATTGAGATACTGATTATTATGATTTGTAGAGATAAGGAAAAGAGACAAGAAAACTGAAATTTACACTTTTATAATAATTTCAATTTTATAATTTTTGATAGCAAAACTCCATTCTGTCACAAACTAATAGGAATGTGATGTTTTTCTCATGATGCTATAAAAAAGAAAAATATTGCAGGAGTTAACTTCAAGATCTATTGCATTATAATAATAGATAAGACTGCTATCTTTCACTTATAATGCCCAGTCCAGACTCTGCTCTTTGAAAATGGCAATTTGTCTTTTTCACCTTTGAATCTTCCCTCTCTGCTTCCTCATTACTCCATTGAAAACATTCATAAAAGCGTAGAGTACTCAACTGAGGGCTGGTGGAAAAGTGACCAAAGTAATGACTTAATGAGAGTTGTTGGGACAATCTTTGATGGTTACACGGGAAGGTAGAAGGTAAGGATTGTGAATAAGGATAGAGCTTAAAAAGCTAAATGTGAGCCAGGCGTGTTGGCTCACGCCTGTAATCCTAGCACTCGGCAGGCTGCGGCAGGAGGATCATTGCGAGTTCGAGACCAGCCTAGGCTACAAAGTGAGCTTAAGGCCAGCCTGAACTGCATAGAGAGACCCTGTCTCAAAAAGAAAAGCCAAACGTGACAACATATATGAAGGGAGAGTAGTGTGACTAGCAATGCAGAGAAAAGGCTGCAGACAATAACTAATTCCATAAAGATGATAGAGAAGTTTGATGAAAGATAGAATTTGAGCAGAATCTTTGGGCCTGGTGAAAGCTCCTGGCGGTAGATAGAGTCCTGGGGCAGCCAGAGTCTACTTCTAGTCAGGTCTGTAAAAAGACTCATGTACTTCTGGAGCTATAGATACCTGAGGAGACTCTTAAGTTTCAAACAGCTTTGTGACTATCATGCACCGTTTTTACAAATACATAAACCAAAACTCGGAGACCTTGAATAATTGTTCTGACTCTCAAAAGCCAACTCCATTATGCCAAAGGGTGGATGATGGTAGGGGTTATGGGATCCTCATACAAACCATCCTTTTGTTTGTGCTTTCTTGCTTCCTCCCAATACATTCTAGTTTTCTGTTTAGACGACTCTGCGAACAAGTAAAGCTTCCTACTTGTTTCAGGGCAAATAAGCTGAGATGAAGGAAGACCAGTTGTGGACTGAGGTATGAGATCAGGGTACTTACACACAAGAAAACAGATATCGCAGAGAAGTATTTAATGTTAAACAGCTATGTTGGCTTTGGCTGGATGAGAAAAGGAGCTTAGAACTTTCTCTCTGTGTATGTATGCATATATGCACATAATACTTGTATGCTTGATATGCATGTGTGGCAGTTGTGAGAGCCAAAGAGAATAATGAGATTTGCCATTTTGTCTACAAACTTCCATAAGAGATGTTTTCCAAGTAAGGCTGGTCTTTGAACCTTGTCCTTGGTTTCACTTGACTATGTCCTGGTCAAGGCTGACTGGTCAGGTGGACAGGGTTGAGCACCTGGCACTGACAGAGGCTACTTACAGTATGGCTGGAAATTAAGACAGCTGAATGAATCAGACTTTATCTTTTGGGAATATAAATCAAGAAATGTGCTCTTGAAAGTAATTTATTTGTGAACTACCAGAAAAATTATTTTCTCCAAGAAGTTCTCATGCAAGAGCTCTGTCACACTCTGGCAGCTACCGCAGTATGGCCTTTAAGAGTATAGTTCATTATTCCTAATTGAGGCAGAGGCCACTAATCTGCCTTGGTTTAGTGTCAGTGAGTAGCTTACCGTACAAAATTGACTTCATTTACTCAGCTTCCTAATACAAACCATCCTTCTGTTTGTTCCCTCTTGCTGGCTCCCTGTATGTTCTAGTTTTCCATTTAGAGTAAGTGGATGGGGAGTTGAAGAAAAGGCTCTATTACCAACTGGGCCACCTCCTAGGGCTACAGAAAGGAGGTGTTCTCCTCATACATTAGAGATTTGTAAAGCCTCTTAGCTGATATTATGAAACTATAAGGAAATTCTCAGAAACCTTTAACATATGTGTGGGAACTGAACCTGTAGGTTTAGAAGCTGGAACAATTGTAGAACATGCAAAATGAGGCTTTGATGACAAACTACGGGTTAAAAACAGCTTTATGCACACAGTACAGAACTCTGTTCTGGTCTGGATATTTTCTAAATGTGTGACTTGGGAAAAGATTAATACCTTTCTATCTTCAATGTCTTTGACTCTCAAAAGTGGAAAGTAATAGTACATATGCTGACAATTGGGTTGTTGTTGGAATTAGGTCAGATAATTATCACAAAGCATTTAGTACCATGCCTGGTGCATAATAAATGTTCAATAAATATCAAGTAGTGCAAGTGAACAAAAGATACGTACTTGAGACAGGAGCCCCGACAGGGATGTGAGTAGTGCTCCAGGCACAGATGCACAGAGAAGTGTTAGTCGTTGGTAAAGAAGAGAAAGAAAAATCAGAATACTATAGGAGAAGGAGGAAGGGGAGAGGGGAGAGAGTAAGATGTAATTGGGCTCTAAAACAAAGAAAAGTCATTTCTTAGAGTTCACAGCTGATACTTTTCCAGTTTCAGCTGTTCTTTCATTTCAACCTGGTAAATGATTACAAAACAAAACAAAAATGTACTAGCAACTACTTGCAGCAACTTGAGTGAGTCTGTACTCTTTAAAAAAAGTGTAACTAAATAAATATTCCTCCTGGAATGCTCCACTCCCTCCCAGGAAGTGGACAATCATTCTTTGCCTCACATATCTGTTAGAAGCAACCAGAACTCTGGAGACCTCTTTATTCAGATGCCTGAGGTGTTCCTGAGAGCAAATGGAAAATAAATCTACAAAACTTAGAATAGAAGAAACTATTGCTTCTTGACCTAAAAGTTATTATAAGATACTGGTGGTACCTTTAATGCTGTCTTAACCGTAAGATTATTTCAGTCTATACATTGTTCACTATCGTATGTCCTGTTTTTATAGCAGCTCAAATACAGGCTTTTCTAGAAATACTGATATAAAGCATGGCCTGAATACACAGTGAATGTTGAAATAAAACCTTGTTACGTTAAAAGACACATTGCTATTAACACTTCTCAAAATATTCTCCCTTCAAACACACCTAGCCCATTTTTCTTGTTCTTTCTGAAGAAGTTCTAGAAATCCTCTCTTGTGACTGTTTTTACGAGGTGTGCTGTAAAAAATGATGAATGCTGCTGCCAAGTACCCTCCAACACGAAAGCAGACTAATAAAAACATTAAAAAATGTCATCATACACCTTCGTCACTGGTTCTGGCAATATGTGACCTCTGAATTTTCCCTCAAGTAAAAATGACCTGAAAGGTAAACATTTCAATTAAGGACATTGAAGCTGCCAGGATAGGGCAACTAACGATACTCACAAAAGAGAGAACTTTCAGAACTGGTTCAGAAAATGGCAAGAACAATAGGATAAGCACATTTGAAGCGAGAGAGTATTTTGAAGTGGATTAATGACAATATGTTTCTGTAATTTAACAAAATTTAAACATTTATCTTATTTTTAGTCACAGCTGGTACTCCACTGTTTAGATTGCTCCACAGTAGTAACGTGGACCATGTTATAAAAGACTTGCATTTAGATCATTAAGGGAATGAAACTTTTAAATAAGAAATAGTGTTGAAATACTTAGAAATTTTCAGACAAACTCTTGCCATGACTTTATTACAAATACCTTGGTACAATACTTACAAAAATGGACACAAAAATCCTGCAACTTTGAAAGGTGGAATCTACCTCCCTTCCTCTTGACTGTTGACTGACATCATGACTTTGAGTATATTGAACAATAAATGTGTCAGGCATGAACATGGGAGATTTGTGAGAATCTGTCAGGTATGTTTTTTGCAACCCCGAGGTTGCCGTCTTCAGGAGACCTATCAACTTCCTTCAGGAGTTAAAATCACTGGAAGGAAAGGGCCTACCAAGAGTTAGTAGCAGTTGCCAGTGATTACTTTTGGACATTCTCATACAGCCACATCATTTATGAAGTGATTATGTGGGTGACTTCAGATAAGACCTAAAGCTGAAGAATCACCTAGCTGAGCTCAGTCAAAATGATTAGCCCACAGAATTGTCAACAAATAAATAGTATCTTTAACCACAAAACCATAGAGCATTTTGTAACATAGAAATGGATAATGGCCAAAGGATATGCCACTTTCCTCATAGTGAGCAAACATTCTTCATGTAGTGAGACAGAGACAGAACCTACTTGCATAACTACTCCAGTAATAGAACTGGAGAAGTTTCAATGTCAGGGAGTTATCTTGTTATCATGGAAAAATATTTTATTGTTTAGCAACAGGAGGAGCAGGGGTTGGCTTTCAGTTCTGTTTCCCACAGCTGAAAGCAAAAGGTATTTCAGTGGGTGGCAGTCCTTGCTCTTGGGGCTGTGTTTGATGTGTGCAAAACCCTGCTCACAAAAATGCTTGTGGGGTTAATTCCTTCTTAAAACTAGTGTCATATAAAATGGGTCTTATTTGCATGCAGCAGCACCACAGAGGGGTTTTCCCTTTTGTTTCCCTTCTGCCAACTATTATAGCTAATTGAGAATTTTGTGACTTTTCCAACTGGAGGAAATTACACAGAACAAACATCTGAGTAATAAAGGACACCAGCTGTTGTCAGAGAGATGGTAATGATTTTTTAAATAGACAAAAAGCTATCAAAGCAAATGTATAATTGGATAATCCAGTAAAGTCCAAGTGCAAGAATAAAATCTCATATGATGACTCTGGATACTCAAATAGAGCATGTCCCAACTGCACATTCTGGACTGCCAGCTGGGTCCTGTTCTTTGTCGTTGAGTAAGTACAACAGAATACATCTAGTCC